TTTTTGGTGGAACTGGGGATTGAACTCAGGCTCTTGCGCTTGCCAGGGAAGTGCTTATTCTACTGAGCCATCTCCCCAGCCCCAAGAATGTATGATTTTTGCAGAAATCACCTCCAAAATAGCCTCTGATCTTAACATCAGAAATACCTGATCCTACACTACTGATCTGTATATACCTCGTAGTATCCTTCTTACAGAATTGCTATAAGGCTGGCTGACACTCAGTTTTGTGAACCACATTTTTATGTTGTTTGTGTGTATTTATCTTCCCTATATCCCTTCCCTATTTTTATATGTCTTTGTGCAAAGTAAGCTATAACTTGCTTTCATGCAAGTTAAGAGTTCAACAGTATATTTTTTAATCAGGTTATAAATATAATCAAAGTTACTCATCACTTAAAATATTTCATGCATACAGAAGTGGTATGGATGTAAATAAGAAGCCCATCATTCATGACAGTCACTAAAAGAAACCCTTGAGTGTCTTTAGCTTCATTTGTACTCATATGTTCATCCCTGGGAACTCTGTTTTCTTTGCACCATAGCAGTCTCCAAAAGTATCAAATATCTGATGTGGAGAGGTCCACTGGTAATATTTTAACAAACATGCACCTATGACATCTTCCAGTCTCTTTTTCTCAACAAATAAGTTCTTCCTTACCTATGAGCATTGTGAAAAATGTGAAGGATGATTAATTTGCTTGAGATCTTCATTTATTAAACAAGTAGGCAATGAGGCACTGCTTTTGGGTTTTCTCCCACATATTTCACAGAATCTATCCATAGAGGGTTTTATCGTTCTGATAGCAGAAGAAGAAAGGTCTGTAAATACAGTTAAAACGTTCTTCATTGCACAGCATTTGTTCAGCAAGATCTGCTGATATATAATTGATACATTAGTTACCAACACTTAAAAAGAACATTTTCCAAGACATCATCTTATAAATAAAATTCAGATCAGCAAAACAAACTTCTAAAAATTTACAGTGATAGAAAGCTATGCTAAAGGTGCCACTTTTTATCTGTCAAATCAAGCATACCAAGATGAATCAGTAAGAAATTGTGTGATTATTTCTTGAAGATATGAATTTTGAAAGTGACATTTCAATGCAAAGTTATTACCTGCCTGGCAAGCTCTAGGTACTGAATGTGATCCCTAGTACAAAACAAAAATAAGTATCTCAACTCGTACAAATAAAAAATTCTTAATTTTGTTTCCTAATTGGAAATACTAGATGTTATAATTTCTAAGTTGAAATAACATTACTTTTTTGTTTGTGGCACGACATACAATAATGTATCTTTTACTACTACAAGCATAAATTTTCATTAATCTTAAGCAATAAATTATTCGATCTAATGAAAAAGTAAATAAATTATTAAAAACATTATTGTATGTTTAATGTGCATTAATATCCTGTTCCATGACATAAAACTGACTATATATGTAAGAATACACACTTAACCCTATTTGAAAATACACATGCAGTCATTTCCCCCTTGTTATCTCTTACTTACAAATTACTGTGCCTTAAAAAGTTGCATGAATAAAATCATCTCTCATCTTGTTTTTCTCTTTTTCTTTCAGGTTTGGCTGCCAATGATATTTGCATCTTTAGCTTCATCTGTCTTTCTAATTTTTATGCCAATCATTAGATCTCCTAAAATGGAGTATATTTATCACGCTGTCTTTCTTTTCCTTGGAGTTCTGTGTTATTGCCTTCATGTTCACCTTAATCAACTTTCTGTCTTTTCTGAGAAAATCACTTGTTATTTACAATTATTATTTAATGCCTCACCTTCAGAAGATGATGAAATTTGTACTTGCAGAGAAAAAAAGTATTACAAATAAATGTTTGTGTAAAAAAGGAGCCATGAAATGTTCACATTTAAGTGAAAAAAGCATACTCCTATAAAACTCCAAACTATATAGAACAAATTCTCGTACTCAAAAACATACATTTATTAATAATGAAGGAAATAGGATCTCAGATTTGCAAATACAAATCAATGATAAGCATGTGTATTCTAATTTGCATCTGGAACATTCCCTCTAGCATCAAGTGTTGAGAAATCAAGCCTGGAGGTGATGTTGATGGGATTGAAGGACACTAGGAACAGAGAAAAGGCAGAGAATGGAAGCAAAGTGGGACACGCCTTTGAAAGTTGTTCTACTAGCCATTCCTTGAGTTTTTCTCACTGGATCCTCTATGCTATGACAAAAGATGCTTACCTCCACTCCAGGATTTCTAATAAGATATTCAGCCTCACCACAGGCCCAAGAGCAACATGCCAAAAGCCCACCATTAGAACTGTTGAAACCATGAGCTAAAATTATTCTTTCCTCATTTCTAGGCATTTTCTGTGTTAGAGAAATCAAAGATGATCAGTGATGCTCAGGAATTTACATTAATTGGTGAATGAAAGAATATAGCAAAATTTGTAGCTAAAAACTACCCAAAAAACCCCAGAAAATATTACAGAGGCCAAAGTCTAGTTGTGAGCCTGCCAGAAGTAGTTATGCAGCTTCATCAATTTAAATGAGAACAGGTTTACACTGGCTCTCTGCTGAGATTGTTCAAACCATCATTGACATGTTACATTGAAGAAAAAGTATAATAGAAAGGTGTGCATCAGAAATCTCATCAACTCATGGGAATTCAGGAAATAAACTGAGAAAGCAGAGGATGAGAAGAGAAAGATACACCTTTGAGAGACTTGGACTCAATCATTCACCTGCTTTCAAAAGGTCCCAACACATAAATACCACCTCCAGCTCTAAACCTAACAATGGGCAAATTCATAGATGAGCACTACACATTTATAATACAGTTAACTCCCAAGAACTCCACCTCTGGCAATTTAAGATATGCAGAGGAAACATTGATTTGAACAATTACATTCTCCCCGACATAAAATTGTCTTATGTGCCTTACCTTATGCCAGAGATTCAGTTTTCTGGAGCACTTTACAGAATTTCTACACTTCTAGCGTTGATCTGAAGTCAAAAACCGAGGTCTTCTCTGAGAACCAAGGAAATCACATGCATGGGGTGTCCTTAAATACCCCCACACATAATGGCACAAGTAAAAATATTTTAAGAAACACAAATTTCACTTTATTCAGATCTGGGTTTTGATACTGATTCTCACCTTATATCTGGTTAAAAGCACTTACAGGGCCAGTGAGATAGCTAAGAGAACTAAAGCACCTCCCTAGGCAAGTTCAGGCCAGCTGAGGGATCAGGATTCAATCCTGGGTACCGCATGTTGCACCACCTCCCCCTACAGGGAGGGCTAAGAGCACCAGAGGCTGGGTGGCATTGTACACACCTGTAATCCCAGCACTGAGCAGGCTGAAAGTAAGAAGATCACAAAAAGTTCAAACTGCATAATAATACCCTGCAACAATCAAACACATTTTTAAAAAGCAGTTATACTACTCCTGCCAGAGACTGAGCACTGGCCTGCCTTGATGATGCCTGCTATATTATTTAGTTTGCCATTTTAAATTCAACTTCACACAAAATCTTAGGGCATGGACAAAGCATAGACAAATTATTTGCTAAATAAAAATGCAAATGGCCTCTCCAGTTTTGAACTGAGTCTTCATTCCCAACTGAAATCTGATCAGCGTATTTTTATGTTTCAATTTTAGGGAAGGGTCTAGAGGGTGATCAGGGTCTCACTACTAGATCAGACTCATAGTCTTCCAAGTGCTGGGATTACAGGCATGTGCCACCATGCCCAGCCTCAACTGCCATCTCAGCGTGCCTGGAGGCTGGGGCCGGCATAGCAGGCCTGGGGATTGAACCCCTGGACCCTGTTCCTGCTTGCAGGTGACTTAATTCACTGAGCTATTTGCCCATTAGCCTACTGATTAATGTCCACACTCTAATTACAACTGGTGTTCTGAGAATGTACCAGTGCCACTGATAAATGTCTTGTCACATTCTCAGACTTCTCTTGGTAACATCTCCAGAGCATTACAAATAACTTTCACAAAAATCTTACAAATCTGCTGAGTCAAATAATAGGTACAGACACAAAAATAGCACCAACATAGTAATAATTTGTTAAAAGTAATTTTCTGTCTCTGTAGCAAAATTCCCGCCACTGACATTCAAAAAAAGGTGATTATTTTCATTCATGATTTCATAGTCCAATGATTTCTATCTCCATGGCACAATGCTGCCTTGATAGAAGGACGTAGAAGAGAACAGCTATTCATGAACATAATACAATTAAAGAGAAAAAAAGCAAAAGAAACACAGAAAACAACTGGGAGACAGAGACAGAATGTCAGAGGGATACGTGCATCTTTATACATAAAAGCATAGGTAACCTAGCTCATCTACCAGGACCCTGTCTCCTAAGAGCACACACACCCCAGATGCATTCATGTACTAATCAAAACACACCAAAAAATACAGCACTGATTTTGTAATCATTTTCATTGCTGATATGCAATATGAGAAACACACAACTTGAGAAGAGATTTATTAACTCATAATTTGAGTCTAACGTTGTCTAGTTCTAAGTCGCCATACTATGGAAGAAATGTATGGATGATACAATCTGCTTAGTTCTCGGAAGTCCATGAGTGTAATAGGGGAAGAATGCCAGGGTTGCCAGGATGAAGGACCAGACCATATGCCCCGATACCATGACACTGGAATACACACAATCACACCCAGATGTGTCCTTCCTCAATCCACAGTCATCAGATCAATTACACTCAAGTGGAAATTCAATTCTTAACCATCATATGTATCCTTGTGATCTGATCAAGCTCCAAAAGCCCCACCTTTGAATACATGAGATATTTTTCTTTCTTAAAAATTTGTTATTGAGATGATAAGAAAGGTTTTTACTAATAATGTTTAGACAAGGTATCATGTCTGCATGTTGTCCTCTGAACAACCACTACAAAGACAGCAACATACAATGTATTGATTATTATAACTGTCCTACTAACCTGTTTTGAAACTGTTTCATTTCTATTTTATTTTCTCACTAAAATGAAAAAAACAAAAACTAATGAAAAAAATAAAATGTTTATTGAGATAAAGTAAACATACAATAAAATTTGCCAACTTTGCCATTTTAACCATATAGTTAAATACCTGTGACTCATTCATAACACTGTAGATTTTCATGGTTTTCCTCCTGACAATAATGCTGACAGGAATATCAGTTTTTCCTTAAACCTTGTCTTCAATTAGTTTGAGTCCATATCCAGAAGTAGAATTGCTGAGTCACATGGCAATTCTATTATTTTTAATTTTATTTTTATTCCTTTTGTTTCTCAATAAAATTAATAAAAAAGACAGAAAAACTACCAAAATACAAAACAACAACAACAACAACAACAATAATAATAATCACTCAGAAAAAGGTCTTCTATCTAGAATATATAAAGAACTAAAAATCATTAGGGCACCAAATTTTAAGGACCCAAACAAAAAATGGACATTTCAGGGCCTACCAAATAGCTCAGCAGATTAAAGTGCCTGCAAGCAGGCATAGGGGCTGGAGGTTTGATACCCAGGACTGCAGAGTGAGCCTCACCCCTGGGCATGCTGAGACAACAATTGAGACTGGGCATGGTGGTGCACACCCATAATCCCAGCTCTTGGGAAGCTGTAAACAGGTGGATCACTATGAGTCTGATCTAATAGTGAGACCCTGAACACCCTGTAAACCCTTCCCTAAAAATTAAAAAAAAAAAGGCATTTGAGATGTATTTCTTAGAAATACAAGAGGCAAATAAATACATGAAAAAATGCTCCACATCACTGATCATCTGAGAAATGAAAATTAAAACAACATTTAGATACCATCTTACCCCAGAAAGAATTGCTATCATAAAGAAATAAAGCAACAAGAAATACTAGAGAGGCTGAGGGGAAAAGGAACCCATCTCCACTGCTAATAGGAATATAGACTCGTACAACAATTGTGGAAATCAGTGTAGAGACTCCTCAAAAAAAAAGAACTGGAATTCCATTCAATCCAGCTATTTTCTTTCTGGGAATTGTCTCAAATTTTCTGAAAAACATCATATTATAGTGATATATGTGTGACCATGTATATAGCAGTACAATTTGTGATAGCCAAATCTTAGAAATAACCAAGATTCCCAACACCTGAAGAATGGATAAAAAAGATGTGGTATTTTTATACAATAGACTTTTACTCAGTTATAAAGAAAAAACAAACTTAAAGACTTCATAGCTAAGTGGATGCAACTTGAAGCTATATTAATAAGTGAAATAAACCAGACCCCCCTGTGTAAATATTGTATTTTCTCCCTAGTGTAAGAATTCAAAAGAAGAAATGAAACCTGAAAGGTATAATAGACATATTTAAATGAAAAGAAAGAGAATTTCTTTAAGGATTAAACAACAAAGAAAGAAAGAAATGAGAAAGGAAATAAGATAG